GGCAGGGCAGCTTTTCTACCACCCGAGCCCTTCCCACCCCGTGTCCGCCTTGCAAGGAGGAAAGGTGCTGGAGAACAGGCCTTTCTGACCGGCTTTTTGGCTGCGGTACAGTTAGGGGTTGAGCTCCCTTTCATCCTTCCCTTTGGATCTGTGCTGCTCTCTGTGCAGCATTAATAACTAAGGCACTAGTGGAGAGTAGCACTGAATTTTTTCTCTTGATGCTGTCGTTCCCTTTCATGACTACAAAGCTGTAGGACAAATGTTTTGAATTATTTCGGTGCTTTTCTATTTAAAAGGAGGTAGTTTCAGTTCTCCGTCCCCACGTAGGGCTGCAAACTAAAAGTTACAAGGAACAGGAGATTTCCATGGAGCAGCAAGGTCAGACCGGTCAGAGCTCAAACTGTGCAGCAACAGTGCTGCTCCTGCCCAGCACACACCACACTGCACAGTGACAAGCAGCAATTGCCAGCTGTGGAGGAAGCTGAAGTACCAGATTAAGGGTGTAAAAGTGCCTTTTCGGTCACCTCAGAGCTTTCCACCCTGCCCTGGCTGCACGCTTAATCTAAGTTAGCATAGCATGAAACCTGCTCTGGTTTATGCCTGCCGCTCATAAACCATGAGGAACCAGTAACTTCCAGTATAACAGAATGCCCAGCTATGGCCACACACGTGCAAGGCTGGCTGGAAGGCCAACTTTCAGATAACAAGTTGCCCTATGGCAGTAGAAGACCTGGAGTGACCCACCGGACCTGGAAGACGTTGATGGGCTGGGGCGCTCGCCGCTAGCCTGGGCTGCTCAGCTGCAGCTCTGCAGCAGTTGCCAATATTAGCCAAACGCTGCCTGCAGAAGCCCCTTCCCTACCTTGGTGTTCCCTTCCTGTAGAGAAAGAGGGCCGCTCCGAGCAACAGGAGACTGAAGAGCAGACCCAAAACTGTCCCTGTTAAGATCTTGCTCGATGTGCTGATTCCTGCTTGCCCACTGAAAATGCTGCCGCTGGCCACCTCCATTTTGCCTCTGGATATGCCAAGAGCTTCACCTGGGAAAGGGTAAGAAGAAATATGAGTGAGGTCTGGACAGCGCAACACTTTGCCCTACCATTCGCGAAGGGTAGTCCCTGACTCATGCCCAGGGCAGAGGGAGCCTATAGTTGTGGCTTTCGCTGCTCACCTGGTTAATCCCCTTTCCCCAAGGCAAGGAAAAACTAAGCAGCTGGGTGGCCTCAACCAGGATAATAAAGTCTGCTACCAGTATAGCTTTGTGCCTTGTTCCCCAGTTATGAGCTATCTACACTTCCTTCAGCATCTTCCAGTTTATATAGCTGCATCCACAGCCAACATTGCAGCGGGAAAGCAGCTTTGCAGAGAAAGACCTGGAGGTCCTGGTAGACAAGGAGTTGAACGTGGGCCAGCAAAGTCCCCTTATGGCAAAAGCAGCCAATGGTATCCAAGGCTTCATTAGGCACAGCATTGCCAGCAGGTGGAGGGAGGTGATTCTTCCTCTCTGCTCAGCACTGGTGAGGCCACATCTGGAGTGCTGAGTGCGGTTCTGGACTCCCCAGTACAAGGACATGGACATAGTGGAGTGAGTCCAGCAAAGGGCCCCAAAGATGATTAAGGGATGGGAGCATTCATCATACAGGGAGAGGCTCAGAGAGCTGGGACTGTTCAGCCTGAAGCGAAGGCTCAGGAAGGATCTATTCAATGTGTATAAATAGCTGAAGGGAGGGTGTAAAGAAGATGGAGCCAGTGGTGCTCAGTGACAGCACAAGAGGCAACGGGCACAAACTGAGTCACAGGAAACTCTACCAGAACACAAAGAAATACTTCTTCACAGTGAGGGTGGCTGAACACTGGAACAGGTTGCCCAGAGAGGTTCTGGAGTCTCGAACCTTGGAGATACTCAAAATCTGACTGGACGCGGTCCTGGGCAACCTGCCGTAGCTGACCCTGCCCTGAGCAGGGAGTTGGACTAGATGATCTCCAAGGGGTCCCTGCCAACCCCAATAATTCTCTAATTCTGTGATTCTGTTCTACTCACACCACTGTCCTATTATGATGAAAGTGCTACAACTTCTGAGTAAGCAAAATTTCACCAATAAAATCTAAAAGTAGAGCATGTGTGTATTAGGAAGGTTTAGAGCTGTGCCAGACCAGACTAAAGAGGATGAGGACAAAGGCAGTGCTTCAGAGCTGTACACAGCAGGTGCCATTTCCAGGCAATCAGGCGTTTTCAATGCAGGGAGCAGCAACCAAATGGCCCCTTGATAGCATGTGATTCCCATCACAGGACATTGCTGGTGAAAGAGGAGAGATGCAGAGCTGGCAAATGGGCCATGGCTGACAAGGGTGAGTGAGCAAGAGCAGCGGGTGAGCAGACAAGGAGCTGCCGCCAGCGGTGGGTTAGGTGCACCCATTGGAGCCCAGCCAAGGAGAAAGGCAGCGTTACCATGCTGTGCGATGTCGCCCATGATGTCTGCAGCCAGCTGCTCAGCAGCGGTGCCTGTCTGCGACCCATTTCGGTCATCGATGAGCACTATCTGGATGACAGGAGTGGAGCTTCGCAGTGTGATTCCCAGGAAGGTCTGTGGTTTGTGTACCTTGGATATAGCCATCTGAACTCCAGCGTATTTGGGCTTTTCAAAACACAAAAGACACGTAAAGCCCATGAGAGCAGTAGGCAGAAATTAGCGTCACATCTGCAGACAGTCATGATGGATGTACCAATAAGGTCCATCCATAAATCTTCAGGTGAAGACCATCACAGAGCTGCCATTCCTGTTATTGCATTGCCATTGGGTTTCCCAAATGATAGGTTCATATCTTTTGTCCCTGGGAAGCTGTGACGGGTGCCCCGGTGTGCAGCATCCCCCCCAGCAGAGGCGAGAGCAGTGGGAATGCTCTCTGGCTGATCCCCACGGGAGCCAGCTGGTCCCGCAGCTGCTACAGAGACCAGCCAGTCAATTCTACTGCCTGACCTGCAGCTGAGAGAGCAATTTAATGTAACACACCCCTTAAACTATATATTAAGATGTGTGTGGTCATAAAGAGGGCAGGAAGCAAGCTTCCAGCTCTGGATCAATAGAGCAATATTCTGGTATTGATCCTGCTGGTGTGACTCGTGAGCATGCCCTCATCTGAGCAGCTCCTGAGCAGCTCCTGGCCACGAGCACCCCAGCAAGAGCCATCTCCCAGAGCCCGCGGGATCCCGCGGCACGCATGTGCATGCGTCCAGCCACACAAGGAGTGCTCGGGTGGGGGAACCGCCTTGCAACAGCGGCTTCTTGGCTGTGCCCCAACTCGCTGAGCTCTCCCTCACCAGTGGGCTGAGACAACGGCAAAACGGCAGAAGCTCTGCCTGAGGCCCATACGCTAGCTGTTGTCTTTCTTTAGGGCCAGAAGGCTCTGGGAGCCTGGTAGCTGTCTCTGTTTCTGCCCTAAATTGAGAGGGAATGAGCTGGCTGTGGCTGTGGTGGGGTGGGGGAACTGGCCTGGCTGGCACCAAATTCATCGGGCCGAATTTGGAGCACCAGCTGTCGGAAGGAAGGCCGGGAGCCGGCCGCGCAAGCTGTCGCTCCCCAGCCGGACTGCTGGACCACAGAGCTTGGCAACCCACATCCCGGGGTGATGCACGTGGCCGTGCCTCAAGTCCCTGCCATCCCTGTGAGTCGCCGGCTGACGTGGCTCATGGTTTCCCAATATCCTACTGCACGCCCAGCCGGCCGGCTGACATACCAGGCTCAGGAAGGCTTGGACGAGCCTGTCCTGATATTTCTGCAGGTCGAAGTCGGGAGTGAACTCCAGGCAAACAATGGCTCCTGCAGCCCGAAAACAGAGAAAGGAGACAGAGCGCACAGTCACCGAGCCTGGACCGGCCGGAGAGCTGCCGCGGACTCGAGTCAGCGTGCTTCTCAGCGCGAAGCACAACGCCGACTGCCAGCAGAGGCACACAGGGCTCTCCCAGCTCCTCCGTGTAACCGGATCTCATTTAGTGCCAAGGAGAGGAGGGCTCTGCAGCGGCATCTGGTCTTTTTATTGACTGATGTCGGGCAAAAGCTTTTGTTTTCCATCATATTCCAAAGAGAAGCCTTCTGTTTGAGGCATTTTCCTGCATGTTCCTGTGGGACGCTCTATGTTTGTCTGGGTTTCAAGGCCGCGAGGCTGTGATTCAGCAGCGCTACTATTTCTTTGGATGTAAAGCACAGCGGAGGGGATACTCATATTCCCTGTATCGCTGCACTGCATTAATTTTCCTTGAAAAAATGCAAGTAAATGTTTATTGAAATAGGAAGTTCTCCTAATGGCTTTAAAAGGCTCTGCTTTATGGGCACATCTGAGAAGAAGCTAGTGCCATTTTAATGAATTTGGTATGACAGCAGCTAAAGTTGTATAGGAAAAACTCCACTTAACCTCCTAGGTAGATTAATGCATAAGCACACGTGTGCAGAGGGAGTACTGTCAATCTGTTGTTTACGGTTTATTTTAAATATGCATGCTATTTTAAATGAAATAAACTTGCTGTTGGAAAGACGACATTACTGTGAAAAGAGTGCGTTTCCTTTGAGCGTTTTCCATTGCATAAACTCAGCAGAGTCCTATTAGCTTGATGAGTTCTGACATCCTGACAGGATAAACCAGAGGCAGGGACAAAGGGCTGCAATTCAACATCGGCTCCAAAAAGCCGTGATAATGCTTCAGAGAGATGTACCCTAACTACCTGGGCACTGGGTGAATCACATTTTGGGAGCAGAAAGGACCCATGGGAACAGTACTGCGGCACAGCACTTGGCCCGGGCTCTCTGTGACCTGGTCCAGTCACAGTCCCAGGTGGTCACAGGTGGCCCTTGGCCACATTTTCAGGCACAAATCCTTTAGCTTTTCAGTCAGTCAAGACAGCAGAGGTACTATTTCCCCCCCATGCAAGTCCTCTGCACCCACGGTCGCTAGACCTCAGCTTCCCCAGCTGTAAAATGGCAGCCATAAATAGCTGGTGGCTTCAATGAGTTCACTGCAGGATTCACCCACGCTTGTGGTTTGCTTTTAGTTTAAGAAGCCCCTGAGGACGGGCACAAACATGCCTATTCTGGTCCCTCCGAGGGGCTCCCAGCCTCGTGGGTCTGCTTTCATATCACTTTTTGTGGGCGGGCAGCCAGGAAAAAAAGCAAAGCTAAGCGAGAGGCAGGAAAGCAACGCTTCTTTGCAGGACTTCCAGCCCACGAGAGCCCGAAGCCCGCGGCAGGAC